GACACGCTGGATGCTAAAAAGCCTAGCTGATCTTGATTACTTATTAATGAGGGTTAGGATAGGTTTTACTTAAGATAATCCTCAATCTCTCATTGAATAGTAAGTAATAATAAGTATATTTCCATTCTGTCAGCGGAGATGAGCAGGAGAGTAATAATTAAGTGACATTTGCTTATATGTGCTTACATGTTCATACGCCACTACGAGTACATCTAATAATTAAGCAACTCTAAAGAATTCAAATTAAATAGGCAGCCACGATGGAATTTCCTGACATAGAAGAAAACTGAGAAGTGCTTAGCTTCTCTATCCCCTGCTTTTAAACTAATGATTCACAACCCTAGGGGAATGAGAATCACTTCAGGAACTTTTAAAAATTCAATTCTCAAGCCCCACCGACTCATTAAATTAATTTCTCTCACTCTAAAAACCTCCACTAGTCTGAAAACCACTGCTATCTTTGGGAACTCACTTCTTCCAAAAGGCTGTGAAGCACAGGCCCAAAATTCAATTCTTCTTGCTTAAATCTAAGACCTACATTGTCCCAAAAGAACGTAAACAGGTGTCTTAGGACAGCTGTACACTGCCTGTTAAGATCATTCAAGAACACATACATATGGGAAACAATTTCAACATTAACTTAAAAATGAACTTTGTTGAGATAAGCAGTTAGATCAAGGGGCTAAAATAATACTGTCACAAAGTTCAATGATGACAGTACAGTTGTTTAAAGTATTTTTAAGTTGTGGCCAGGGTCATTATAAGCCAGGACCAACTCAATGGCACCTAACAACAACATGTCAATACTGTTTTTGGACTATTACCTGATTGCTTTACAAGAGCTATTATTACTAAATCTTAGTGTTGACAACTTTCTTAGAAGTTAAAAGACCCCACAAGATTCTTAAGTACAAATCACTACATAGGTTTGTCATTTTGCCTTGTGGTGCCTGAGGGTACAATATTCTTTTTTGGTTCACAAATGGGAAACTTTCAGAGTTTTCAATGACTGACTCAGCATTCTACCAGCATGACATTCAGCAGGAGGGTGATAAGCTGAGGAAACTGCTTCAAAGGCCACACATCTGCTCAACCCAGCTTGGGGTAACCTCTGCTCTGGTAGCACCAGCCACTGGGCAGGATGCTGGTAGCCCATGAATAAATGATCAGAAGTCCGATAATTTCTGTGAGCCTTTTGGACAGAAACAGAGGAAAATCATCTTCTTAGGGCCTGCCTCTCTAAAATGGAGAAGTGCATGCAGAGAGAAGAGAACTCTCAAGTCAGGCTGATGGTAGGAGGCAGAGGTAACTGTCTTTAAATGAGATTTACCGATTTCCTTGTTCTTCCAGAGACAGACTTCCATCCCAGGTAGCTGCTCCACATGGGTGGTCAACTTTACAGAGATTCGTGCTTAAAGATGCACTAGTTGGCAGTAGAAAGGGCCCTTGGCTGGGATCCTAACGGTGGACCTGCCCACACCCCAGCCTTCAACTTCCCCCTTTCCCATGTACTGCACAAAAACAAAACCCTAAATTTCCCGGGCCTCACTTTCCTCAATTGTCAGGTAGGGATATGAGCGAGATTAATGGTTCTCCAGGGTGGGATTGCTGGCGTCGGGGATGGGTCCATGAACCCCTTAACAAATGCACTTTTTGCATTAACTGCTAAAAAATCCTCGTATTCCAAGATCGGTTAAGAACTAGTGCCTCAACTCTTCCTTCCCAAGATTCTAAGACTCTGGGACAAACCTTAGATCATTCATTCTTCATAATCAGCTTCCTCCAGACCTTGGCCCGGCAGCGGGCCTGCCTCTCTCGCTGACCCCTGACCTCGGGCAGGGCACACCGACAGACAATCTGACTCCATGGTCCTACCCGCAACACTTTAATTATAGGCGCGGCCTTAGAACACAAAAAAGGTTCTAAACGTAAATCTGAAACTTTCTTCTGCTTCCGCGCCGGCGGGGTGTGTGTGTGTGTGTGTGTGTGTGTGCGTGCGTGCGTGTGTGTGTGCGTGCGTGCTTCTGCTTTGCAGCCCCCAGGGACACAACTCGAGGATTTTCCCCGAGTACCCGGCGGGTAGTAGTGGGCGCACGGTCCAGTCCGCTCTGCGCCCAGTCGGAAGCGGAAGCGACCCAAGCCCACCGGCGCCCGCCCGGGCCCCCAGAAGGTGAACCCCACGTCCCCGCCGCACCTCGCACTCACCGGGCTCTGCGCACCAGCCAAGCGTCCCCGCTACCTCCGCGGCCGCCGGCTCCTCGCTCGCGTCCGGGGGCGCGTCGTCCGGCGGCAGCTGCGACAGCCCTGGCTCCTGCAGTTCGGCGGCCCCGGCGCTGTCCAGGGACCGCATCTCGTTGCCTACGCTTTCCTCGCGGCCGTCGCGACTTGTGGCGCCAGCAGCAGCCGCTCGGCTGCCCGGCTCTTCCGGCCGGCCGTCTGCGCATGCGCGCGGCTTCCTCCTCCGCGGGAATCTTGTATTTGTCCTCTGCTACTCTCTTACCTTCAGCTCCGGCGCCTCCTGCTCAGGAAGGACTCGCCTTAGGCTGCGATGACCATAGCTGGCCTGAACGCGCCCATCCCTCAGATGCCGTCAGGTCAGATGACGTGGAGCCAGCCTTTCCAAGACACAGAGGTCCCCTGTCTGCCCGTAATGTCTCTGTCATTGCACCGACAGAAAGGGACGCTGCGTTCCCAGACCCAGCGCCCGTAAGTTCTGTGGCCTTCTCTCGGGGCAGGCGGTCAGGAGTTTAGGAAACTGTGAATACTTATTAGTGTGGCGTTGCATTCAGAATCTCGTATACCCTGGAGAGCTGGCAAAGTACTGTGTCCATCTTTAAATAATCAAGGGTTTTTCCACCGTTATTTTGTTCCCACTTGTCCAAGAGGGAGAGTAGAATTTTGCTAGTTTTGTTGTTGTTGTTGTTTGCCGTCCAGTCGGCCCCGACTCATAGCGACCCCTCCTTGGGTTTCCGAGGTAGTATCACTACGGAAGTAGGATTGCCCAACCTTCCTTCCGAGGAGTGGCTGGTGGGTTTGCTAGTTTTAGAAGGTTAAAAAAAAAAAAAAGAAGTTGGGCATGTAGTCATGAGGAAAACATATCAAAAAGACTGAGGCAGAACCCATTTACATGTTTACAACAAGGTTGTTTTAGCTGTTTAGTTGGACCCACACGGCAACCCCATGTATTTACAACAATAGGTATTATTATTAATCCTCTCTGAGTTTCCCTTTTTGTTAACTGAGACTTCTAGTTTGCCCAAATATAAGATTCAAATGTTTGACATTTGGCTCCATGATTCACTAATAGCTCTTTGGGTTTACATAATTCTCTCATCTGTGACTAGCATTAAATGTGGAAAGACAAGTCTCCCAGCTAGGTTGAATGTTTCTAACCTGTTCTAGGTCTAAGTGCCAAGCACATTGCTGAAAAAGAGAATGAAGTTTGCTTCTAGTCACATATTTGCACATGTTGTTGTTGTTGTTGTTTGCCGTCGAGTCGATTCAAAATGAAACCATATTGACGTTAGGAGCATTAGGTTCTGGACTTGATTCTGTCCCTCAGACAAGTCATTGTACCCCGTGAAGCCTTGGCTACTTCATTTGTTTGTTGTTGTTGTTGTTGTGTGCCATCGAGTCGGACCCGACTCATAGCGACCCTCCTTGGGTTTCCGAGGGTTTCCGAGGCAGTATCACTACGGAAGTAGATTGCCCCATCTTCTTTCAGAGGAGTTGCTGGTGGGTTTGAACCGCCAGCCCTCTGGTTAGAAGTCCAGTGCCTTAGGCACTATGCTACCAGAGCATGCTTCCCTTGCTACTTCACCGAATTGTCATGTAAATAAAGTGCCAGGAAGAGAAAGGACGTGGTCATCTGGAACACACTTTTGTTGTTGTTGTTGTTATGTGCCGTCGAGTCAGCCCTGACTCATAGCGACCCCTCCTTGGGTTTCCGAGGCAGTATCACTACGGAAGTAGGATTGCCCAACCTTCCTTCCGAGGAGTGGCTGGTGGGTTTGAACCACCAGCCTTCTGGTTAGCAGTCAAGTGCCTTAGCCACTAAGCTACCAGACACACTTTACTGGAAAGAAAATATGTATTTTTAACTAGGATGAACATATAATTTATCCTTCAAACTAGAACCCCTTTTTAGAGTAAAAGGAGAGCTCTTTTAAGAATTATGTAGAAATCCTAGCTGTAGGATTGACCTGCAGTGGTCCAGGTGAGGTCAGAACCGAGATAGAGGAGGTAGAAAGGAATGATTGATTTTGAGGTGGCTAGGAGATGGAACCACCACTCTTGTGTCAGTTTGTCGTACTGTGAACACTTGCATATTGCTGTGATGCTGAAAGCTATGCCACCAGTATTTCAAATACCAGCAAGGTCACCTGTGGTTAGCAGGTTTCAGTGGAGCTTCTAGACTAAGACAAGGAAGAAGGAAAAGACAGTCCACTTTTGAAAAAATTAGCCACTGAAAACGTTATGACTAGGAATGAAATATTGTCTGATACAAAGTGCCAAAAGAGGAGCCCCTCAGGTTGGACAGCAATCAAAATACGACTGGAGAGAGAGGCCTTCTCAATGTAGAGTTGACATTAAGGACATGGATGGGATAAAACTTTGGGGATCTTCATTTACTGATGTGGCATGACTCAAAATGAGAAGAAACATCTGCAAACATCCATTAATAATCAGAAAGTGGAATTTACCAAGTATGAATCTAAGAAAATTAGAAGTTGTCAGAAATAAGATGGAACATTTGAAGACTGTTATCTTAGGCATTAGTGAGCTAAAATGGACTGGTATTAGCCATTTGGAATCAGATAGTTAAATGATCTGTGCTGGGAATGACAGATTTAAGAGGAATGGCATTCATTGTCAAACAGAAATTTCAAGATCTATCCTGAAGTACATTGCTATCAGTGATAGGACAATATCCATATCCCTGCAAGGAAGACCAATTAATACTATTATAATTTAAATTTACACACTTACCACTAAAGTCAAAGATGAAGAAATTGAAGATATTTACCAACTTCTGCAGTCTCAAATTGACCAACCTATGATCAAGATGCTTTGATAATGGTGATTGGAATGTGAAAGTTGAAAGAAGGAGCAGTAGCTGGAAAGTATGACCTTCATGTTAGAAATGATACCAGACATTGCATGATATAATTTTGTAAGACCAACAACTTAATCACTGCAAATGCTTTCTCTTCAACAACGTAAGTGGCAACTATACACATGGACCATACAGATGGAATGCACAGAAATTAAGTCGAATACATCTGTGGAAAGAAACAATGGGGAAGCTCAATATCATCAGTCAGCATAAAGCCAGGGACAGAGTGTGGAACAGACCATCAACTGCTCATATGCAAAGCTGAAGAAAATTAAAACAAGTGCATGAGAGCCAAATTATGACCTTGAATTATTACACCTGAATTTAGAGACCATCCAAAGAATAAATATGATGCATTGAACACCAGTGAAGACCAGATGAGTTGGGAATGACATCAAGGATATTATACTTGAAGAAAGCAAAAGGTCATTTAAAAGACAGGAAAGGAAGAGAAGACCAAAACGGATGTCAGAAGGGACTGTGAAACTTGTTCTTAAATGGAGAGTGGCTAAAGTAAATGGAAGAAATGATGAGGGAAAAGATTAGAAGATTTCCAAGGGCAGCTAGAGAAGACAAAGTATTATAATGAAATGTGCAAAGACCTGGAGGTGGTAAATCAAAAGGAAAGAACGTTTCTCAAGTTGAAAGAACTGGGGAAAAAAATTCAAGTCTCAAATTGCAATATTGAAGGATTCTATGGGGAAAATATTGAATGATGCATAAATAAATAAATAACCAAACTCACTGGCATGGAGTTGATTCTGATTCATAGTTACTCCCATTGGGTTTACAAAGCTGTAAATCTTTATGGAAGCAAACTGCTCCATCTTTTTTCCACAGAACAGCTGATAGGTTTGAACCACTGACCTTTTGGTTATCAGCCAAATGCCTTAACCACTGTACCACTAGAATTCCTACTGAATGAGGCAGGAATTGCCAAGAGAAAATGGAAGGAATACAAAGAGTCACTGTACCAGAAGGAATTGGTTGACATTCAACCATTTCATGAGGTAGTGTATGATCGAGAACCAATGGTACTGAAGGAGAAAGTACAAGATGTACTGAAGGAATTGGTGAAAAACAGAATAGCCACTGACAAGTTTCAAAAAACAGATGCAACTCTGGAAGCACTCACTCATTTATGCCAAGATATTTGGAAGACAGCTACCTGGCCAACCAACTGGAAGAGGTCCATGTTTGTGCCCATTCCAAAGAAAGGGGATCCAACAGAATGTGGAAATCCTCTAACAATATCATTATATCACATGCAAGTAAAATTTTGCTGAAAATAATTCAAAAAAACTTGCAGCAATACATCAACAGGGGATTTTCAAAAATTCAAGCCAGATTAATAAGAGAACATGGAACAAGAGATATCATTGCTGATCCATATCATATGGATCTTAGCTTAAAGCAGAGAATGCCAGAAAAATGTTTACCTGTTTTTTATTGACTGTGCAAAGGAATTGGACTGTGTGAATCATAACAAATTAAGGATAACACTGCAAGAATGGGAATTCCAGAGCACTTAATTGTGCCCCTGAGGAATCTGTACATAGAACAAGAGTCAATCATTTGAACAGAACAAGGGGATACTGCATGGTTTAAAATTAGAAAAGATATGTGTCAGGGCTTTATCCTTTCACCACACTTATTCAGTCTGTATACTGAGCAAATAATCCAAGAATCTGGACTATATGAAGAAGAATGCAGCATCAAGATTGGAGGAAGACATACTAACAACCTGTGATATGCAAATGATCTTGCTTCTGAAAGTTAAAATGAAGAAGACTTGAAGCACTTACTGGTGGAGATCAAAGGCCATAGCCTTCAATTTGGATTACACTTCAATATAAAGCAAATAAAAATCCTCACACCTGGACCAATAAGCAATATCACGATAAATGGAGAAGTGACTGAAGTTGTCAAGGATTTAATTTTACTTGTATCCACAATCAATGCCCATGGAAGCAGCAGTCAAGAACTGGTCTGATTGAAACTGGTGAAACCCCCAAGACTATGGCCTGGAATTGAATTTACTTCCAGGTTCAACTTTCAGCCAAATAATAGACAGACATAGGAGGTAAACAGTTACACCAGGGCAGTCACACTTCTTAGAACAATCAACACTAAGAGATCAAAAGGGCAGGATTTGTGGAGGGATAAAGCTCAGAAGGCAGGAATGCAAAGGAAAGACGGACACAGGGAAAAGATAACCACAGGGAAGAAGTGCA